ATAAAAGGGTCTATCCATCTAGAAAATATAACAATTATAAACCTATATGCACCTGCAACAGTGCCCCCAATACATGAAGCAAAAACTGTCGTAATTGGTGGTAGAAATGGACAATTCGCTGGTAATAGTAGGAGATATCAGTACCTACTTTTGATAATGAGTATAACAACTAGACAGAATGTCAACAAGGGCCAGAAAACTATAACCCTACTGGACCTAATAGAAATCTGTAGAACGTTCCACTGAACAGCAGAATATCCCAATTTCTCAAGTGCATATGGAACATTTTCCAGGATAGATCATATGTTAGGGCATAAAACAAAACTCAAAAATTTAAAGGATTGAAATCATATAAAGTATGTTCTCTGACCACAGTACACTGAAACTGGACATCAGTAACAAAGAATTGGGGAAATTCACAAGTATGTGGGAATTACACAACTTCTAAGTAACCAAGAGTTCAAAGAAGAAATCCCAGGAAAAATTAGGAGATACTTAGAGATGAATGAAAAGAAAAACCTAGCATACCAAAACTTTTAGGATGCAGCTAAAGCAGTGCCTAGAGGGAAATTTATAGTTGTTAAATGCCGTGCGAAAAAAGGATAAAGTACTCAACCTAACTTAAGGAACTAGAAAAAGAAAAGCAAACAAAATTTAAAAATCCAGAATTCAGAGCAAGCAAGCAGAAAGAAGGAAATAATGACCATTAGAGCAGAAATGAATGAAATAGATTTCATTGAAATAGAAAACCAAGAGAGAAAACCAGGTAATCCAACAGTTGGGTTTTTTGTTGTTGTTTTTTTTTTTTTTTTTTTTTTTTTTTTCTGAAAAATCAACACAATTGACAAACTCATAGGTAGACTGACCAAGAAATAAAGAGAGAGCTGGGGCACCTGGGTGGCTCAGTAGGTTAAGCGTCTGACTTCGGCTCAGGTCATGATCTCACAGTTCATGGGTTCCAGCCCTGCATCGGGCTCTGTGCTGACAACTAGCTCAGAGCCTGGAGCCTGTTTCAAATTCTGTGTCTCCCTCTCTCTCTGACCCTCCCCTGCTCACGCTGTCTCTCTCTCTCTCTCTCTCTCTCTCAGAAATAAATAAAACATTGAAAAATTTTTAAAAGAGAGAGAAGATCCAAAGTAATCAGGAATGAAAGAACATCACTATCAGTCTTAGAGAAGAAAGCAATTTTATAAGAGAATACTGTGAACAGTTTTGTTTTGGTTTTGGGTGGGTTGGGTTTTTTTGTTTTTGGCTTTTTAGAGAGCAGGGGACAGGGGCAAAAGAAGAGAGACAGAATCCCAAATAGGCTCCTACCTGGAATGGAGCCCCATGTGGGGCTTAATCCTGCAACCCTGGGACCATGACCTGAGCCGAAATCAAGAGTCAGATGCTCAGCTGACAGCCACCCAGGCATCTGTGTGAACAGTTTAATACCAAAAAATTAGATAACTTAGGTGAAATTGACAAACTTCTAAGAAGACATGTTTATCAGTATTCTTTCAAGAAGAAAAAGAAAATCTGAATAGATGATTAACAAATAAAGAGATTGAATTAGTAATTTTATTTTTTTTATTTTTTTAAAATATTTTTTATTTATTTCTAGGAGAGAGACAGCGTGAGCAGGGGAGGGTCAGAGAGAGAGGGAGATACAGACTCTGAAATTGGCTCCACGCTCTGAGCTGGCAGTCAGCACAGAGCCCGACGCGGGGCTCGAACCCACGAACCATGAGATCATGACCTAAGTGAAAGTCGGACGCTTAACCCACTAACCCACCCAGGTGCCCCTGAATTTGTAATTTTAAAACAGAACTCACACAGAAGAGTCCAGAAGTAAATGGCTTCCCTGGTGAATTCTACCAAATGTTTAAAGGTGAAATAAATAGGCAGTCAGTGAGGAAACTCAGACACCCTTGGGGCCTGCCTTTTTTTGGGCGGCTGGGAAGATGACAGACATTCCAACATGCCTATCGAAAGCAGCCAACCATCTTTCAAAGTAAGAAGAGGGTTCTACTAGGGGCACCTGGGTGGCTCAGTCAGTTAAGCTTCTGACTTGATTTTGGCTTAGGTCATGATCTTATGGTTCTTGGAATTAAATCCTGCATTGGGCTTTGTGGTGACTGTGGAGCCTGCTTAGGATTCTCCCTCTCCCCCTCCCCCTCCCCCTCCCCCCACACGAAATAAACATTTAAAAAAAGAAAAGAGGGTTTTACTTGGAGCAACCAGCAAGGAGAAGCCCCCGTGATACTACAAAAATAGTGGTCGGGGCTTCCAGATGCCCAAGCAGGCCATTGAGGGCACCTATATTGACAAGAATTGCCCCTTTACTGATAAGGTCTCAATCCGAGGGCAGATTCCATCTGGTATAGTGACCAAGATGAAGATGTAAAAAACCTTTGTCATCCACCGAAACTACCTCTCGAAAGTACAACTGCTTTGAAAGATGCCGCAAGAACACATCTGTGCACCTGTCCCCCTGCTTCAGGGATGTCTAGGTTGGCAACATTGTCAGAGTGGGCAAGTTGCTAGCCATCGAGCAAGTCTGTGTGCTTCAGTGTGCTCAAAGTTACCAAGGCTGCTGGTACCAAGAAGCAATTCCAAACATTCTGAGACTAAACATCTGCCCATACACCTGAAGAAAATAAAATTATTTTCCCAGTTAAAAAAATAAAAGAAATAACACCAATACTTGACAAACTTTTCGAAAAAATGGAAGTAGGAGGAATACTTCCTGGTTATTTGAGGTCAATAACATGTCAAAACCAAAATCATTTAAAGATGTCACAAGAAAAGTATAGACCAGTATCATTTATCGGTTATTGATGAATGTAAATAAAATATTTCTCAATAAAATACTAGCAAACTGAATCCAACAACATATAAAAAGGATTATATACTAAAACCAAATAAGATTTGTTCTAGGAAAGCAAGGCTGATTCAATAAAAAGAAAAAAAAAAAACCAGTCAGGGGTACCTGGGTGGCTTAGTCGGTTAAGTGTCCAACTTTCACTTAGGTCATGATCTCACGGTTTGTGGGTTCGGGCCCCGCGTCGGGCTCTGTGCTGACTGCCAGCTCAGAGCCTGGAGCCTGTTTCAGTCTGTGACTCCCTCTCTCTCTGACCCTCCCCTGTTCACACTGTCTCTCTCTCTCTACTAGAAATAAATAAAAATCATTTAAAAAATTAAAAAAAAAACCAATGAGATACTATATTAATACAATAAAGGGGGAAAATATGAACATCTCAATAGACGAAGAAGAAGCATTTGACAAAACCCTTTTGTAATTAAAAGAAACAACAAACTAGAGGGAACTTCCTCAACCTGATAAAGACCATGGATCAAAAACCCTCAACTAACTTACTAACTAACTAAAAATTTACCTAAGATCAGGAACAAGAATTTTTACCAGTTCTGTTCGCTACCGTATTGGAGGTTCTCGCCAGAGCAATTAGACAAGAAAAAGAAATAAAAGCCATTCCAATTAGAAAAGATGAAATCAAACTATAGCTATTCACAGGTGACATGGTTCTTGCATATATCATGAAGTTATGAAAGAGACTAGACCCAAAAGGCCATATATATTATGATTGTATCCATATAAAATGTCCAGAATAGGCAAGTCCACAGAAACCGAAGTTAAATTAGTGGTTGCTAGAGGTTGTAGAAAGGGGAGAGGAAGGAAAGACTGGTTATATAGGTACTGGGTTCCTTTTATGACAAAAACATTTCAGAATAAGATAGTGGTGATGGTTATAGAATCTGTGGTTGCACTGAAAACCACTGAATTGTACACTTTTTTTTAAGTATTTTTTATTTTTAAGAGTACAAGTGGGGAAGGGACAGAGAGAAAGACAGGATCTGAAGCAGGCTCCGTGCTGACAGCAGAGTCCCATGCAGGGCTGAAACCCACGAACTGCAACCTCACATCCTGCACTGAAGTCGGTCGCTTAACCGACTAAGCCGCCCAGGCACCCTGAACTGTACACTTTTAAATTGTGAGTCAAAAAGGATTCACAATTGCTACTTCTCATTTCAATTTATTCAGATTTTTTTTTTTTTACAAAGGTAAATCTTCCAGCTGTTGAATTAGATACCAAATAATATTTATTTTGTTCCATTCTTCCATTTTTAATAGAACACCCTAGTTTGCCAAAATTGCAGCCAAACTATAAGAAATCATTTTTTTTCTGTGTGAGAAATCTCCAGCAATGTTTCTGGGTACTAATATATCTTAATGTTATAAAGACAGTTATTAAGACTTAAAAGTAGATTACCTTTCAGTAATGCTTTGTAATTATTAGCTAGAGGTAGTAAATTCTAAAGTATGGAACACCTTTTTTAGTTTTGAATGTCATTCTGTGCTAGAAGTAGGGTGTGGTTTATTAGCTTGGATTTGAACAAAACCCAGTACAGAAATGGGTATGGTTAAAACTCAGCCAGCCAGAAAAGAGTGTTAATTTTGCTCCCACCTCTTCTCTAGTTAATTTTGATATCATGCTATGTTTTTAACCTTAATCTGACATTATTTAAACTTAGAAAAATAATGTTTTAAAATAAGCAGTAAAACCATGATGACTGAAGCGGGACTTCACATTCTACCCCAAAAAACTTTGTTCTGTGCTGTTGCAGGAGCAGAATTCCCTTGAGGCCATTTTTGATCAGCAGAGCCCTTTTTCTTCTTTCAACCCCTAATACCAACAGACAAATTGCTGAGTTATGTCCTTTAAACGATATTGACACAGGGCCAAAGGGCAGTAAAGTAGAATTTGCTTTTAGCAAGAGTCAGTCTCAAGTGTGGCTAGTGTCATAATTGAGTGGAAAAGAGAATATCCAGGCCAGCCAACGTCTGCCTAAAACTGCTATTTCTGCTTCAGTGTTCAAAGACATATTTATTGGTCTAGAAATGGGTTGAAATGAGCAGGATTTACCTTCAGATTACTGTGGATTTTTCTTGTGATGATGGTCCATTGTACTGTAATTCTGTTGTCTTTCTGCTTACATAGGTCTAGAGCACCATTGGATGCTTACTTTCAAGTGAGCCGGACGCAGCCTCATTTGTCAACCACCTCTCAGGGTTCAGAGACCAGGAATCCTGTCTCTGAGGCCTTGCAGGTCTCCAGTAGTTCCGATTCTGACAGCTCTACAGAGTATGAGGAGGTTGTCCAGGCAGAGGAACCTGGAGCTGTGGTTATAGAAGGTGGGTATGTTACTCAGTTTTGGATTCACAGGGCTAACACCCAGAAAGCTAGAAACTCTAGACTTGTGCTTTGATACTTCCCTTTTGCCCCCAGATGTCAGCAGATTCCTGCTTCATATAGTACAGAGCTTTCACTGGCCATAATTCCATAAAGAGGATTTGATCTGACTTGAAATTTAATGTGATTTGTGACCCACTCAGTTGGTCACTTTGTAATGGCATTTTATAGTCTCTGCCATTTTCTTTGACATCTTAGAAGAAAGTAGGGTTCTTTATTTAAGAGAAAAGCTTTGTAAATTCAGTATCCTATCTAGTCTGCCAGTTTATAACATTAACACTATAATGTGCTATGTATTATGCAAGTAGAGTTATATTTAGTAGTAGTGGGAAGAGACCCTTGGAGCATATGTCCTGCTTACCCTCTGATACCCCAGATTATGGTCTTTTCCCACTAAAAGGACCCAGGACTTCTTGGAGAAAAGGCTTTCCAAGACTGGGATAGGAAATAAACAAGATGAGCCTAGGGCAAGGGAGCCATCTCTCAGAGAGTCATCACGGCAGTAGGCATAGAAGCAACCTTGAAAGGGCTCGTAAGTGGCCTCATGGGACAGTTTGATCATCAAAACGAATAATGGGTGTATTCTTGGAGTATAGATTGAAATATAGGTTGAAATACATCAAATCTCTGAAAAATCCCAAATTCATAATTCTGTACTTTTTTAAAAGCTCATTTTAAAAGCTTTTTTATGTACACTTTTAAAAGCATCCTGGTTATTAGAGCCCTGGCTCATTACTCTGGAAACTGGTAAATAAAGGGTTATGCATTTATCCTGTTTTCCCTGGGTGAACTGTATTCAGGAAAACCTAATATTGGTTGATGAAGGAGGTTTTTGTTTTGTTTTGTTTTTTGTTAAGAGAACTATAAGGTTTGCAACAAAATTGAGAGGAAGGTGCAGAGATTTCCACACACTCCTGTCCTCCCATGTACACAGCCTCCCTGCTGTCAGCACCACTCGCCAGGGTGCTTGTGTCTAATCATGGCCTGTTTGCCCTGAGTCCGTGCTTTACCTTAGGGTTCACCTTTGGAGTTTTCCATTCTGTGGGTTTCGACAAATGTGCTCTTACTGCCCTAAAAATTCTCTTTGCCTATTCATTCCTCCCACCCACCCCCAAGGAAGTTTTTTTAAATGGAAAAACTCCAGCTAATATTGGAGTAGGAATGATAGGAAAAAGTCTTAATTTTGTGACTCCTAATGGAATGATGTATCTAGGCAAAGAGCTGCAGTGGATCCTAAAACCATTAGGTTGAAAGGCTAATGGGATTCCTTTTAATGGAGGTAGCAAGTTGACCCCACCAGACCTTATGTGCAGTTTGATGTGTTGCAGTCAGAAATCTCCATAGGGGGTGCCTGGCTGGCTCAGTCAGTGGAGCCTGTGACTCTCGGTCTCAGGGTTGTAAGTTCAAGCCCGTGATGTGTGTAGAGATTACTTAAAAATAAAATCAAAAAAGAAAGAAATATCCATAGCACTTAGGGAATACTGTTACTGCCCAAAAGATCCCTGAATCTACTTGAGACTCTAGGTACAATCACCAGGTTGTGCAGTTTTACAGAAAGTAGAAGAAAAAGGGAAATAATATCTTACACATGCAACCATTTAAATCTAAAATGTGTTCCATTCAGGGGCGCCTGGGTGGCTTAGTTGGTTAAGTGGCCGACTTTGGCTCAGGTCATGATCTCGTGGTCTGTGAGGTTGAGCCCCACGTTGGGCTCTTTGCTGACAGCTCAGAGCCTGGAGCCTGCTTTGGATTTTGTGTCCCCGTGTCTCTCTGCCCTTACCCCGCTCAAGCTCTGTCTCTATGTCTCAAAAATTTTTAAAAATAATAATAAAGTAAATTGCCAGAGGCCGAGCCGGCTCCGGCAGGTCTAGGGGTCCCTGAAGGATGGACGGTGTCAGCGAGAGAGACTGAGAGAGCCCCGAGATTCTTTCTGATCACCAGGCAGACATCTCTGTCCTGTCTGTTTTTGTGTCTTTATTTAAAGGTTCAGCAACAAGATGAAGTCAGAGAAAGGAATTTCTTACAATGGGAGGCCTTTTGTGATAACAATAGTAGAATTATTCCAACCGAGGAAATAACAGAATGTTCTTAGTGAAAAATAGGATAACATATAGGTCAAATTGTGTATAGATAAGTTAAGAGTATTTTGTCTGGCTCTCAAGAGGATGAATGTTTCTGAATTGGTTTGTTTGTGGAGACTAACATGGGGACCCTGAATGGGTCAGTCTTTTGCCCCTGGGTTATGTTTTAGCTACTGTTATCTATCCTCATCCCAGCTGCCAATGTAAGAGAGGGTGTCTGTGGAAAGTAGGCCTTGAGGAAGGGACTGTTATGTTTCACCAATTAGCAAATTATATGTGGTAACTATGTTTTGCTCTTAACCCCAACATAGGCCCTTGGTCTCAGGGCCAGGTTTAATTGTAATTCTTTTGTTCTTAACCTCCTAAGTCTTGGATCTGCAAGGCCCATAAGAAGAGCCTTTTGACATTTACCCATAGAGCTTTCATCTAAAATCTCTTTTGTAAAGGCAGGAATATGCTTTTCCTTAGGAGGTATCTGTATTCAGAATATGGGTCTGATATGGAATATTATGAGGCCTGGTCAGTACCAGCAGTCTTATATCCAACATGAGCCAGTAGTAGCAGAAGGAGATACTAGTTTTCATTTCTCATGGCAGGAGCTGCAAACATTGTCACTTCCTTGCTGTGATTGCCATCCAGATAGGCCGGTGTGGCTCCCGGCAGTAAAATAAAATGTGTTCCATCCTACAAATGGACCATCTAGAAAAAAGATCTAAACGTATATGAAAATCTAGTGTATTAGGGAATATCTCAAATCAGTGGGGAAAAGACAGACTTTTAATATTGTAAGAACTGGATTGCTAACTGGGAAACAATAAAACTGGATTCATTCCTCACACTATAAAATTAAGTAAGTAGATCAGAGACCTAGTGTAAAGAAAGAAACTATTCTATTATTAGAATAATATATAAGTAATAAGAACCAGAAGTAGGGAGTACTTTGAAGTCTAGAGGCAATACAATAAAATTACATTAAAAAAAATTTTTTTTATGACAGTGAGCCAGCATAGATACATTATGATTCCACCTATGTAAAATGTCTAGGAAAGGCAAATCTATGGAGAAAAAGTTGCCTGTGGCTGCCGGTGCAGATGGGAAATGATTCTGAATTGGCATGAGGAATCTTTAGGAGATGATAGAAATGATTTAAAATTAGATTGTAGTGTTGGTCATACAGCTCTGTAAATTTACTATAAATAAAAGTTAATATGAGGAAGCAATTGGTCAAATCCAGGATGTAGACATTTTAGAAGACAAATGACCAGATTTCTCAAACAACAGACAAAAGAGGTGCATTTTAATTAAGAATTTATGTTCAACAGACATCATTAGAAAACTGAAATGGCAACCCAGTGACTGGAGAAGACAACCATAATACATATATTTGAAAAAGGGCTTATTCTAGGATCTCTCAAGAACTCCTACAACTTAATAGGGAAATGGGCAAAAGATTTGAAAAGGTATTTCCAAAAGAGGATAACCACTAAATACGTTAAAAGGCTTCATTAGTCATCAGGGAAATACAAATGAATACCAGTGTGGTGACCCACTACAGCCAAAATTTGACACAATATCAAGTATTGAAAAAGATATAAAGCAGCCAGACCCCTTAAACACTGCTGGTGGGAGTGTCAACTGGTACAGACATTTAGGTGGTATCTTTATAAACTTATCTACATATATAAAACCCATGGCTCAGCAGTTCCACTTCTAGGTATATAATCCAAGAAAGGAGTATATGTGTTCAACAGAAACATACAAGAATGTAACAGCAATGTCTGTAATGGCAGAAAACTGAAAACTACTCAAATGCCCATCAGTAGCAGAGTGGATAAATGTTATGTATTTACACAGTAAAACACAGCAGTGAAAATAAATGAACCACAACTCCACATACTAGTATGGGAGAATCTTAGAAACAATGTAGAATAATGTAGTAGATGCAAAAAAGTGAGTAACTCTGAAATGCCATTTATATATAAAAACAGGCCAAAAAAATATATGGTGCTAGCATTTCTTAGGGTGGTTATCTTTGGTGGGGGAAAATCATCTTCCCCAACCCCCCCCCCCCCCCGAAGTAGGGAGGACATAAGATGTAAATGACTCTCATGGGGTTTTGTTGGTGATGTTCTGGTTTATAGTTCAGTTTGTGAGAACTCACTGAACTGAATACTTAGGATATATTTTTTCATATGTACATTATATTCATATAAAAGTTTGTGGGGTTTTTTGTTCTGTTTTTAAAAAGAGCCAGTTTAAAGGGACTTCCACTGGCCTGTGGCGGGGTCATTTGAGCCTCAAAGAGAAAAATTACTCAAAATTAAAAATCACCTCCTTGACCATTAATGGGGGATTTGAAAGGTTGATAAGGAATCTGATAAACTAGGGCTCAGACCACCTGAACTGACCCTCCTGACACTGTGATCAGAAGCACACAATCAAAGGGGCGCCAAGGTGGCTCAGTTAGTTGAGCGTTCAACTTAGGCTCAGGTCATGATTTCACAGCTCGTAGGTTCGAGCCCCACATTGGGCTCTGGGCTGACAGCTCGGAGCCTGGAGCCTGTTTTGGATTCCGTGTCTCCTTCCTCTGCCCCTCCCCTGCTTGCGCTCTGTCTTTGTCTCTCAAAAATGAATAAATGTTAAAAATTTTTTAAAAAACACACAACCAATGAAGTATTCTTGCTGCCTCTCTTCTTGCTGGAAAACAAAATTGAACCCACTGAAGCCCCTAGATGTAACTGCCAGTTTATAGGAAATATAGGTGATAGAGCAGCCAGTTAAGCAGTTCTAAAAGGAAGCAGTCAAATCGGGGATGTAGCGTATTTCAGAAGACAAATGACCAGGTATCTTCCAATAAATTGGTGACAGGGAAGGGATAAAAATGAATCAAGGAGAATTGTTAGAGTGAAAAAATATTCACAGATGTGACAGACTCGTTGTAGAGGCTTTGTTTAGATTTGCTAACAACAGTAAATGTACTGTAATGAGCAACTTGAAAACAACTGAGAAATTTTGAATATGAACTGTGTATTAGATAGTATTAAGGGATTATTGTTACTTTTGTTAGGTATGTTAATGATAGTGTTTAGATAATAGATAAAAGAAATCTTTATCTATTAGTATTACAAAAGCTTTTAGAAGTGAAATGACATTTTAGAGTTTGTTATTAAGCGTTGTAAAAGAAAATAATGGGGATGGGGGTTTAGTTGGAAAAAGATTGGCAACAAGATCGATTTTATTTGAAATTGGGTGATGAATACTTATGTGTTAATTATACTGTTCGGTCTAGTTTTATGCATATTTGAAAATATCTAAAATAAGTTAAAAAATAAATTCACTGTTACAATAGGAAACTTACAGCAATACTACTAATTAGAAAAGGAAACCTGTGGTGAGCTAGGCTCTGCTGCTAGCCTCTCATTCCTGACTTCTGTCTTCTTTTGTGCATTACTAACCTTATCATTTCTGGAAATGACTTGACAGAACAAGTAGGAGGTACCTCAGTGGAACAAGAAGTTACAAGTATCCAAGAAAGAGAGACCCTCTCCAAACAGGTAAGGTGAACAATCTTTTAAGTGAATTGGTGATTTGCATTTAAAGAAGAGGCTGCAGGCTGAAGTGGAAAGTTTGCAGCCTTTGTAGGCCGGAGGTCAGGGTGTGGGTCCAGTCCACTTACTATGTGGCTGCTTCCTCATAGGTTTAAAAAAGCAGGGGTAGGGGCACCTGGGTGGCTCAGCTTTAGGTGTCCTTCTCGGGCTGAGGTCATGATCTCACAGCTCAAGCCATGTGTCAGGCTCTGCACTGACAGCTCAAAGCCTGGAGCCTGCTTCAAATTTTGTGTCTCCCTCTCTCTCTGCCCCCCCCATGCTCTCTCTCTCTGCCCTCCCCCCCATGTTCTCTCTGTCTCTCTCTCAAAAATAAACATTAAAAAAATAGTAAAATTTTTACAAAGCAGGGGTAGATGTGAGGATAACTTGTCCTGCCTACCTAACAAGGTTACGTTTTGATTAAAATAATGGATATGAATGCAGTTTATGAAATATCTGGCAGAATATGATTACTATGTGATAAACAGTTTTGATTTTTAAATATAACACATCATATTCCTTAATACAAGAGTTATTTACATCCGTTGTGGACGCAGCCAATCTCCAGATATCCTTGACCTACTTGTTTGCATGTTTATGGTGTCCATGTTTTTTTTCTTCTAGAAAAAATTTATGTACATTTAAATTTATCTGTGACATAAATGTTCCATTTTTAAGTTTACAAAAAGGGATCATGTTATACCTTTTATCAGTACATAAAGTTGACTCTCATTCTTATGAATCACTGCATAGTGTTCCATCTGTAAATAAATTTTTGGTTAACTCTTCTTTTGTCGTGTAAACTAAAGTTCTTCTTTCTCTTGCTCGCTTTTTTTGTTTCCTTCCTTCCATCTTTCTTTCCTGGTACAAGTTCATGCTTTGTACAGTTGTCTTGCAAGTATTTATTTGTGACTATTCATGGGATATACTTCTAGCAGAGATTGCTTTGTCAGAGGAAAGATACATAAGGGTGCCTGGGTGGCTCAGTCGGTTAAGCGTACAACTCTTGATCCAGACTTCATGGCTTGTGGGATTGAGCTCCACATCAGGCTCTACGCTGATGTCATGGAGCCTGCTTGAGATTCTCTCTGCCCATCCTCCAATCACATGCACACCGTCTCTATCTCTCTCTCTCTCTCAAAATCCAGATAACTGTTGGGTTTGTTTTGTTTTATATCTTTGTAAAGATGGCTCCTTTTCTTCATTTGAATGAAAAAAAATATCCAACAATTTCCTAAGATCAAAGGGTGATAGTAGTTTCCTGGCTTGTTCTGAAATATTTGTCCAGATTGGGTTTTACCAAGAATGACAAATGATTCATAGCTGTTGCAGCTTTGCTACAGTGTTTTCATTTGGATTTGAATTGCTTTTGTGTGGTGGTGTTGATGGTGTTGTTGATGTAATAGAGTTGCACATTGTCTTCAAGACTGATTTTCATTCTCTCTAACTTGAATGTATTCTGGTTTCCATCCAGTCTCCCCAGAAGACCAATCCTCTTCTGTCTTCTGTGTCTATGGATGATGAAGAAGGGGACACTTGCACAATATGTTTGGAATATTGGACAAGTGCTGGGGATCACCGACTCTCAGCGTTACGCTGTGGGCACCTCTTTGGGTACAAGTGCATTTCTAAGTGGCTCAAGGGACAGGCACGAAAATGTCCGCAGGTAAGAACCATAGATAAGGATGTGCGTGTGCACACTCAGCATGTTAGGTCAGGATTCCTAGAACCACTAACTTTGTGTTGTTGGGCTCTTTAGTGCAACAAGAAAGCCAAGCACAGTGATATCGTGGTTCTTTATGCCCGAAACCTGAGAGCTCTGGACACTAATGAACATGAGCAAATGAAAAGGTAGGTGACAAGAATCGGACTACCTGGCAAATCTGAGAAAGGAGGTATGAGTCGCTCTTAATGAGGTTCTAAGGCTTTACTTGCATTGTACTGGGGATCACTGGCAGTCTGTCTCACATTGTGCTTTATAATACATGTCTAATACCTTCTAGGGAGGTCTATGTGTTGTGCTCTCCACACAGTGTTAAAAATGAGGTTTTGGAGGGGCACCAGGGTGGCTCATTCAGTTAAGTGTCTGACTTTGTCTCTGGTCATAATCTCGCACTTCATGGGTTTGAGCCTCACATCAGGCTCTGTGCTGACAGTTCAGAGCCTGGAGCCTGCTTTGGAGTCTTTCTCTCTTTCTTTCTCTCTCTCTCTTTCCCCCCCTCCTTCTCTCAAATAAATGAACTTTTTTTTTTAATAAGCTTTCAGACTTTCAGAGTAACAATTAATTGTGACTTCAGCTAGCTTGGTGAATGTAGACCCCAGGTTCATTGAATGTACCTTCTCAACCATAGGAAAGGGGGAGCCTATCTAAAAATAAAGTCCAGGGGCGCCTGGGTGGCTTAGTCGGTTAAGCGTCCGACTTTCGCTTAGGTCATGATCTCGCAGTTCGTGGGTTCGAGCCCCACGTTGGGCTCTGTGCTGACTGCCAGCTCAGAGCCTGGAGCCTGTTTCAGCCTGTGACTCCCTCTCTCTCTGACCCTCCCCTGCTCACGCTGTCTCTCTCTCTCTCCTAAAAATAAATTAAAAAACATTAAAAAAAAATTAAAATAAAAATAAAGTTCAAAAATGAACTATTGTGACCTCATTAAAATAAAAAGCTTCTGCACAGGAAAGGATTGTTGATTGTTTCATCAACAAAATTAAAAGGCAACCGATAGAATGGGAGAAGATGTTTGCAAATGACATATCAGATAAAGGGTTGGTATTCAAAATCTATAAAGATCTTAGCAAACTCCACACCCCAAAAAAAACAAATAATCCGTGAAGAAATGGGCAAAAGACATGAATAGACACTTCTCCAAAGAAGACATCCAGGTGGCCAACCAACACATGAAAAAATGCTCAACATCACTCACCATCCCGGAAATACAAATCAAAACCACAACGAGATACCACCTCACACTTGTCAGGATGGCTACCACTCACAACTCCGCCAACAACAGATGTTGGCGAGGATGTGGAGAAAGAGGATCCCTTTAGCGCTGCTGGTGGAATGCAAACTGGTGCAGCCACTCTGGAAAACAGTATAGAGGTTCCTCAAAAAATTAAAAATGGAACTGCCCTACGACCCAGCAATGGCACTACCAGGTATTTATGAAATACCTGGTGATGAAATATTATTGGTCAGTACTCCTTAGATTACAGGAGAGGAACTTTAGCTGGCAAACTAAAAATGAAAACCAACATTATCACTGAGAAACCCACTGAAGTCTAATTCAGGCATGGCTGAATTGAGGGTCAGCAATCTGCCTTCCTCCACTGCTTTCGTGTGCACTGACTTCATTTTTATTTTTTTTATTTATTTTTACTGGACTTTTTTTAAATTGAAATATAGTTGACACACAGTTACATTAGTTTCAGGTGTACAACATAGTGGTTTGATAACTCCAAATGTTATGCTATGCTCATCACAAGTGTAGTTACCATCTGTCACCATATAATATTACAGTACCATTGAGTATATTCCCTATGATGTACCTTTCTCCCCCATGACTTTATTCCTTTTTTAAAAAATTTATTTATTGTTTAGTTTATATCCAAGTTAGCATATAGAGCAACAGTGATTTCGGGAGTGGATTCCTTAATGCCCCTTACCCATTAAGCCCATCCCCCCCCCAACAACCTCTCCAGTAACCCTCTGTTTATTCTCCATATTTAAGAGTCTCTTATGTTTTGTCCCCCTCCCTGTTTTTATGTTATTTTTGCTTCCCTTCCCTTATGTTTATCTGTTTTGAATCTTAAAATCCTCATATGAGTGAAGTCATATGATATTTGTCTTTATCTGACTAATTTCACTTAGCGTAAAATCTTCCAGTTCCATCCATGTAGTTGCAAATGGCAAGATTTCATTCTTTTTGGTTGCCGAGTAATACTCCATTGTATGTATATACCACATCTTTATCCATTCATCCATCAGTGGACATTTAAACTCTTTCCATACTTTGGCTATTGTTGATAGTTGTGCTGTCAACATTGGGGTGCATGTGCCCCTTCATAATAGCATACTTAATATCCCTTGGATAAATACCTAGTAGTGCAGTTGCTGGGTCGCAGGGTAGTTCCATTTTTAATTTTTTGAGGAACCTCTACTGTTTTCCAGAGTGGCTGCACCAGTTTGCATTCCTACCAGCAGCGCTAAAGAGATCCTCTTTACATCCTCGCCAACATCTGTTGTTGGCAGAGTTGTGAGTGGTAGCCATCCTGACAGGTGTGAGGTGGTATCTCGTTGTGGTTTTGATTTTTATTTCCGGGATGGTGAGTAATGTTGAGCATTTTTTCATGTGTTGGTTGGCCACCTGGATGTCTTCTTTGGAGAAGTGTCTGTTTATGTCTTTTGCCCATTTCTTCACTGGATTATTGTTTTTTTGGGTGTTGAGTTTGGTAAGTTCCTTATAGCCTTTGGATACCAGCCCTTTATCTGATATGTCATTTGCAAACATCTCCCATTCTATCGGTTGCCTTTTAGTTTTGTTGATTGTTTCCTTTGCTGTGCAGAAGCTTTTTATTTTGATGAGGTCCCAATAATTCATTTTTGCTTTTGTTTCCCTTGCCTCCAGAGATGTGTTGAGGAAAAAGTTGCTGTGGCCAACTCATCTTACTTTTTGTATATAATTCATGACTACTTGGAACATGCTCTAAATCTTAATCTCTTCTTCCCTAGAATAGCTTAATAATACTTTAAACCAAACAATAACAAAAAAAAGAGGATCTGCCCCATGGCTTAAGTGTTGCCATTTTTTGCTGTTCATGTTCCTAAAGCCCTCCTACAGCAGCACTCTCGATGGAAGTTTCCTAAGTGAAGCTTTGCACATGCAGTGCAATGCAAGAAATTATTAGGATTTTGGAACTCCAAGAACAATTGCTGATAACACTACTTAAAATAAACTTTAAGAACATTAAAAAAATACCCCCACTGAAAGAGTGTTGGGACATGGGTTTTCTCACAACAGTGCTGGTAAGAATGTACACCAACACAACTATTCAGAGACCTTTGGCACTATGCCCTAAAAGCCTTTAAAAGTAAATGTACTCCAGACATTCTAAAGAAACAAAGATTTATTTAATGAGACTTTTCATTTAAGCATAGTTAATAATCCAGGGGCACCTGGGTGGCTTGGTTGGTTAAGCATCTGACTTTGGCTCAGGTCATGATCTCATGGTCAGTGGGTTCGAGTTCCCTGTCAGGCTCTATGGTAGGCTCAGAGCCTGGAGCCTGTGTCAGATTCTGTGTCTCCCTCTCTCTGACCCTTCCCTCACTCATTCTCTCTCTCTCTCTCTCTCTCTTTCTCTCTCTCTCAAAAATAAGCATTAAAAATTTAAGCATTGTTAATAATTCAAACTGAGAGAAGTTATCTGGTTGAGTAAACTCTGGCATATTCATATGATAAAATTCTATACATTTATTTAAACTGATGATAAAGTGGGGTGCCTGGGTGGCTCAGTTGGTTAAGCATCCGACTTTGGCTCAGGTCATGATCTCACAGTTCGCAAGTTCAAGCCCTGCATCGGGCTCTGTGCTGACAGCTCAAAGCCTGGGGCTTGCTTCAGAGTCTGTGTCTCCTTCTCTCTCTGCCCCTCCCCCGCTCACACTCTGTCACTCTCTGTCTAAAAAATAAAATAAGATAAACTGATGTTAAAGGGCACATAAATTTTGTCATGTGAAAGTACGTTACGGTGATTATATTTTTGTGAAGTGGAAAAAAAATACTGTTGGTAGTCACTGAGTAGTGGAATTACAGGTGTTTTAATTTTCTTCCTTATTTTTTCTTATTTGGTTTAATAAGTACTTAGCATTTTTATATGGTAGCTGTGTGGAGGGGGCAACTTTGTTAAAAAAGCTAACTTTGTAGGTATGGCTGTTAATGATTTAAAACTTGGCTGATTACTCAGAAAAACTCCCAACAAACAAAAATGCAGGACCAGTTACAGGTGAAATCTACTAAACGTTTAAAGAATACCTAACTTCTCAAACTTCCCCCCCCCCTAAAAAAAAGAAGAGGAAGGAAGTCTTCCAAATTCATTCTATGAGGCAAGTGCCTCCCTGACACCAAAACCAGATAAAGACACTACCCCCCAAAAAAAGAGAATTACAAGCTAATATCTCTGATGAACATACTACAGAAATCCTCAACAGGGTATTAGCAAACCAGAGCCAACAATACATTAAAAAAATTTTTTTTTCACATGATCAAGTGGAATTTATTCTTGGGATACAAACATGATCCATTATTTGCAAATTAACCAGTGTGATATATCATCTCAATAGGAGAAAGGATAAAAAACATACAGTCATTTCAGTAAATGCAGAAAAAGCATTTGACAAAGTACAACATCTATTCATGGTAAAAACACTCAGCATACTAGGTTTAGAGGGAACATACCTCAACACAGTAAAGGCCCTATATGAAAAACCTATCATCCTTAAAAATTGAGAGCTTTTCCCCTAAGGTCAGGAACAAGATGTCCACTTTCACCACAGCAATCAGACAAGAGAAATAAAATTAAAAAATAAAAGGCATCTAAACTGGTAAGGAAGAAGTAAAATTTTCACTATTTGCTGATGACATGATAGTATATGTAGAGAACCCAAAGGCTGCCAAAAACTACTAGAACTGATAAATGAATTCAGTCAATTTGCAGGATGAAAAATCAGTGTACAGAAATTGTTGCATTTATTTTTTTTTTTTTTAATATTTTATTTACTTCTGAGAGAGAGAGGGAGACAGCCTGAGCAGGGGAGGGTCAGAGAGAGGGAGATACAGAATCTGAAGCAGGCTCCAGGCTCTGAGCTAGCTGTCAGCACAGAGCCTTAACACAGTGCTCGAACCCACGATCCATGAGATCATGACCTGAGCCGAAGTCGGACACTTAACTGACTGAGCCACCCAGGCACCCCTGCATTTCTATATACTAATGATGAAGCAGCAGAAGAAGAAATTAAGAAAACAATTCCATTTTTAATTGCACCAAAAAACCCCAAACACCTAAGAATAAACTTAAGAGGTGAAAGATCTGTACTCCGAAAACTGTAAAACATTGATGAAAGAAGTTTAGGATGACACAAAGAAATGGAAGACATTCCATGTTCATGAATTGGAAGAACAAATATTGTTAAAATGTCTGTATTAGGGGCGCCTGGGTGGCTTAGTCGGTTAAGCGTCCGACTTTCACTTAGGTCATGATCTCGCGGTTCATGGGTTTGAGCCCCGCGTCAGGCTCTGTGCTGACTGCCAGCTCAGAGCCTGGAGCCTGTTTCAGAGTCTGTGACTCCCTCTCTCTCTGACCCTCCCCTGCTCACGCTGTCTCTCTCTCCCCAAAAAATAAATAAAAACATTAAAAAAAAAAGAATACAGTGCTCCTTTAAAAATAAATAAATAAATAAATAAAATGTCTATTACCCAAAGCAGTATACACATTTAATCCTGTTCCTATCAAAGTACCAACGGCATTTTTCACAGAACTAGAACAAATAATTCTAAAATTTGTATGGAATGATAAAAGACCTCAAATAACCAAAGCAATTTTGAAAAAGAAAAACACACCTGAAGGCATCACAGTTCAGACTTCAAGTTATATTACAAAGATGTAGTCAAAACTGTATGGTACTGGCACAAAAATAGGCACATAGAACACTAGAAAGCCCAGAAATGAACCCACAATTATATGGCCAGTGAATTTTTAAGAAAGCAGGAAAAAATATGCAATGAGAAAAAGACAGTTTCTTCTACATGCAAAAGAATAAAATTATACCACTTCTTTTTTTTAATGTTTATTTTTGAAAGGAACAGAGACAGAGCATGAGCTGGGGAGGTCCAGAGACAGGGGGAGACACAGAATCCAAAACAAGCTCCAGGCTCTGAGCTGTCAGCACAGAGCTGATGCTGGGCTCGAACTCATGAACCGTGAGATCATGACCTGAACCGAAGTCAGACACTTAACCAGCTAAGCCACCCAGGCACCCCAAAACTATACCACTTTCTTACACCATACTCAAGAATAAGTTCAAAATGGATTGAGGAGCTAAATTTGAGACCTAAAACCATAAAAATACTAGAAGAGAACACAAACACTAATTACTCTGCCATTAGTCGTAGCAATATTTTTCTAAATAGGTCTCCTGAGACCAGGGAAACCTTTTAAGTCTCATTCCTTAGTAAGAGCCACACTCCTGGTCCTCAGTGCCTGCCTTAACACTGAACCCCAGTGATTCATGAGTTCAGCACCATGTGCTACTTTTCTGTAGTGTTTCTGGATGTAAGAGATTTTTCTTTTGTTATATTTTATTCACCATCACAACATATTTACAGCAGAGCATGTGTATCACAGCATGAACTTCATCTGATGTCTTGATGGGAAGTCTTCTGCAGCCTTCCTAATCTCCACCTGTTGTTGGCTTCTATTTCTAGTTCCTTACTAAAGGAGCAGATGCTAAGGAAGCAGGCCGAGTTAGAGTCGGCACAGTGCCGGCTCCAACTTCAAGTCCTCACCGATGAGTGCACTAAGCTTCATAGTCGTGTCCAGGTACGTTTGTCCTTTCTAATCCAGAGAAGTTTTGGGGTAGGATTGGAAGAGGAATCTAAATATAACTTCCGTTCATCTCCCATACAAATAAGGATTTTACCAAGTTTTTCAGGAAATAAACAAGACCAACCGTTTCATTCTTGATTAAGGCATTTGTCTGAAGCGTGCACACTTTAGGATGAATTCTGCAGTTTGAACTTTTGAAAAATTAAACAGCTCGCTGATAATTCAAACCTTAAGTCATTTTTACCTCCCTTAATCTACGCCTAAAATGAGGGTTTTAGACAAGATGACCGTTAAAGACTTTCAGCCCTACTATTTTATGATCTGTGCTCTCCTCAGTTCAGTTGCTTATTGAAATACTGTGAAAACTGTGTCAGTCCTCTAGGATTCGTGTCAACATTTTCATATGATGGAGAAGAAATCTCATATTAAATCAAGGAATTGTACACGAGGGAACTATCAAATGAAAAGGCTGCACATTTACAAAATCTTTTTCATTTTAGGATTTGGGAAAACTTATTATGCAGCATCAAGAGCGGATTTCACAGCAACCGAGGGGCTCCCAGGCACGCTTCCTGAACTGCCTGCCCTCCAGCCAGGGCCAGCACAAGTACCATTTCCAGAAGGCCTTCACGGTATCCCAGACAGGAAACTGCCGAATCATGACATATTGTGATACTCTGAGCTGCCTGGTAGTGTCACAGCCTTCTCCTCAGGCCTCCTTCCTGCCAGGTGAACAATCCAGAACCTCATCCTTAATGTTCATGATTGGACTTCATTTCTTTCTCTCCTCTCTTTTTGGAGAATCCAGGACTCACTGTTGGGTGAAACTGACCACAGCCCACCAAATCACCTTTCCTAGTCTGTTAATGCTGCTTCTCTGAGGTACTGCAGAGAAACCTTTAATGTCTATTAGCTTCTTCCTAGAAATTTGTTTACTAAGAGGTCAGAAATGCTAATGACTGTCATAAAGTAAGAGAAGATGGGGTTCTTGGAAGTATGGGTTACTAGTACAGGCCAAGGAGAAGGACAACACTCCTTATATGCCCTGTTAAAGTCATACATTCACAGAGGCACCAGGCTGGCTCAGTTGGTAGAGCATGTGACTTCAGTTTGAGCCCCATGTTAGGTACCTTGAAGCAGGCTCCAAGCTCTGACCTGTCAGCACAGAGCCCCACGTGGGGCTTGAACTCATGGAGTCCAAGACCATGACCTGGGCTGAAGTCACACCCAACGCCCCTGATTCTTTTTTTTTTTTTAACGTTTTTATTTATTTCTAGGAGAGAGAGAGACAGCATGAGCAGGGGAGGGTCAGAGAGAGAGGGAGTCACAGACTGAAACAGGCTCCAGGCTCTGAGCTGGCAGTCAGCACAGAGCCCGACGTGGGGCCCGAACCCACGAACCGCAAGATCATGACCTAAGCGAAAGTCGGACGCTTAACCGACTAAGCCACCCAGGCGCCCCAATGTTTTTCTTTTTTTGAGAGAGAGTGTAAGTGGGGAACAGAGAATCCAAAGCAGGCTCTGTGCTGACAGGCTGACAGCAGCAAGCCCAATGTGGGGCTGGAACTCACAAACCGTGAGATCATGACCTGAGCTGAAGTTGAACACTGAACCAACTGAGCTGCCCAGGTGCCCCTCTCACAGATCCATTTTATATTGGAATGTTTTTTTTTTTTTTTTTTAAGATTTTATTTTTTCAAAGTAATCTTGGGGTGCCTGGGTAGCTCAGTCAGTTGAGTGTCTTCTCTTGATTTTAGCTCAGGTCACGATCCCAGGGTCATGGGTTTGAGCCCCTTATCAGGCTCCATACTCATCGTGGACCTGCCTAAGATTCTCTCTTTCCCTCTGCCCCTCTCCCCTGCTCATGCTTGCGCGCGCGCTCTCTCTCTGTCTCTCTCTGTCTCTCTCCCATACACACACACACACACACACACACACACACACACACAGAGTCAAAAAAAGAAGGGTGGGTACCTGAGTAGCTCAGTCAGTTAAGCATCCAACTCTTGATTTCAACTCAGGTTATGCGATCGAGCCCTGCATTGGGCTCTGCACTGACAGCGTGGGGTCTGATTGGGATTCTCTCTCTCCCTCTCTCTCTATGCCTTTCCTGCTCACCTGCACATGTGGTTGCTCTCTCTCTAAATAAACTTTAAATTAATAAAATAAAATGTTATCTGTACACCCAACATGGAGCTCAAACTTAGAACTTTGAGATCAGGAGTTGCATGCTCTACTGACTGAGCCAGCCAGGTACCTCAAAGCTGGAAATATTTTTTTTAATAATTTTTTTTTAAAAATGGGAGCACCTGTTGGCTCGGTTGATTGAGCATCTGACTTTGGCTCAGGTCATGATTTCACGGTTTGTGGGTTCGAGCCCTGCGTTGGTTTCTGTGCTGACTGCCAGCTCAGAGCCTGGAGCCTGTCTTCAGATTCTGTGTCTCCCTCTCTGTCTGACCCTCCACTGCTCACACTGTCTCTGTCTCTCAAAAATAAATAAAAGATTTTTAAAAAATTTTTAATAATTTTTTAAAAAATGCTTTTTTTGAGGGGGTGAGGAGAGAGAGAAAAAAAATAAGAATAAGCTGGGGAGAGACAGAGAGAAGGAGAGATAGAATCCTAAGCAGGCTGTGCACTGTCATCACAGAGCCCAACATAGGGCTCCATCTCATGAACCATGAGATCATACCCTGAGCCAGAAACAGGAGTGGGACGCTTAACCAACTGAGCCACCCAGGTACTGCTGGAAATATTTTTAAAGTAATACCCCAAGGGCTAATTCAAGTTGAAACAAGATTTAATACTTCAGTAGTGTTAAATTGACAAATTCCAAATAAAAGAATTTGGAAATACATTAATTAGTAGTTGATAATAATACATTAATACTAAATTTTCTCATATTTTGTGTTGTTTTAAGATTAATTTTAGATTTTCTTAATGTTGAAAACCAAATCTCCTCACATGCCCAATTAAATTATTCCTAATTGTTGTTCCTTTCCATGATCTTCAGCATATGATTTCCCCCAACTGTCAGGTCCTTTTGCTTCAGCCTGATTTCCTGTTTACCCACTTAAAAAGTCCATTCAAATGCTTCAAAACTCTGTCCCTCCAAACTTAGGTATCAACAGGATTTGGAGTAGAATTCCTAGATTACCATATATTTTCCTATTCATGGGTAGCTATGAGTTGAGAAAAACTCCATTTTAGGGGAACATAAAAGGACTATTTATACTGTTTCTATATCCCATCCACATTTTTAGTAAGATTTATCAATAAAACCTTCCCTGCAAATAGGGAAGATATTTATTTTTAAATTTTAGAGCACACAAGCAAGGAAGAGGGGCAGAGAGAGAGAGAGGATTTTTTTTTTTTTTAATGTTTGTTTATTTTTGAGAGAGAGCACGAGCTGGGGGAGGGGCAGAGAGAGAGGGAGCTGTCAGCACAGAGCCTGATTTGGGGCTCAAACCCATGAACTGTGAGATCATGACCTGAGCCAGAGTTGGACGCTTAACTGGCTGAGCCACCCAGGCACCCCAAGAGAAAATGAATGTTAAGCAGAGTCCACACCAGCACAGAGCCTGACATGGGGCTCAATCCCACAACCATGAGATCATCATTTGAGCCAAAAATCAAGAGTCAGATGCTTGGGGATGCCTGGGTGGCTCAGTTGGTTAAGTGTTCACCTGTTGATTTTGGCTCAGATCATGATCTGATGGTTTGTGAGATTGAGCCACCTAGAAGCCCCTGTTCCTTTTTTCTTGTTTTGTTTGTTTATTTAACTTTTATTTATCTGGGGGCGCCTGGGTGGCTTAGTCGGTTAAGCGTCCGACTTTCGCTTGGGTCATGATCTCGCTGTTCGTGGGTTCGAGCCCCGCGTCGGGCTCTGTGCTGACTGTCGGCTCAGAGCCTGGAGCCTGTTTCAGAGTCTGTGACTCCCTCTCTCTCTGACCCTCCCCTGCTCACGCTGTCTCTCTCTCTCTCCTAGAAATAAATAAATAAATAAATAAATAATAAATAAAAACATTAAAAAATAACTTTTATTTATCTGTTTTGAAAGAGAGAACATAAGAAGCGGAAGGCCAGAGAGAGGGAGAGAGAGAGAGACTCTTAAGCAGGCTCCATGCTGTCAGCCCAGAGCCCACTGTGGGATTTGATCTCACAAATGATCTCCTGAATCATGAGATCATGACCTGAGCCTAAATCAAAAGTTGGACAGTTAACTGACTCAGCCACCCAGGCACCCTGGTTCCTTTTTTCTAATGCATGTATTCCACACCGTACAGCTAGCTCTACTTGATAGCTTGTTGGTGCTAGTTTCTCCTTGTTTCCCTTGATCGTTAATTAGGCCAGTATTGTGGTTCCCTTGTTGATTGAAAGCCTGTAGTTTCCCTCTTTGTCTTTCTGGCTGTCCTAATTCTGTTTCAGGAGAGAACACAATAAACTTTTCCCACTTAGTTCCCTGGAGAAGCTGAAGTATGACTCGAGGTATTCTGAATCTAGGATTTGACAAATCCTATGTGTGGGTAACTTGGATAATAATAGATACTTCATAAAAATAAATACATTTACATAGCCTAGTAAGAAAACAGTAACAAATTACTCTTTAAGGACTGGTCAAGACCAATTTTGAGGGGCATTATTTTTTCCTTTCTGGAATGATGCACATTAATTAGAATACTTAAAGTGTCATCTATTTTTATTCCATTCAGACAAATGTAGCATATCTTAACATATCGCCTATCTCCATTCTTCATTGTTCATTCTCTTCTGCATCTTCTGTGTCTGTGGTTCAAATAGAATAGTCTCTCTCCTAGTAGCTCTATTGAGGTCTGACTGACATACAATAAATTGCACATATTTAAAACATACAGTTGGATGAATTATGTGTACACTCCTGAAACCATCCCCACAATCAAGATAATGAACATATCTATTGTCCCAAAGTTTTCTCATGCCCTTTTATAATCGACCTCCCACTTGCCCCTCCCTCCTCTCCCCATCCCCAGGCAGCCACTGATCTACTTTCTGTCACTGTATATTAGCTTGCATTTTCTTTCTTTCTTTTTTTTTTTTTTTAATGTTTTTATTTATTTCTAGGAGAGAGAGAGACAGCGTGAGCAGGGGAGGGTCAGAGAGAGAGGGAGTCACAGACTGAAACAGGCTCCAGGCTCTGAGCTGGCAGTCAGCACAGAGCCCGACGCGGGGCTCGAACCCACAAACCGTGAGATCATGACCCAAGCGAAAGTCGGACGCTTAACCGACTAAGCCACCCAGGTGCCCCTAGCTTGCATTTTCTAAAATTTAGCATAAACACAATCATACAGCATTATTCTTTTCTGTCTGGCTTCTTTCATCATAAAGTTTTAGAGATTCGTCCATATTATCATATATATCAATATTTCATGTCCTTTTATAACTGGATAGCATTCTATTGTGTGTACATGTTCTTATAGTGGTTTATCCATTCACCTGTTGTTTGGTGTTTGGAGTGGAATATACTTTTTGAAATAATTATAACCCTGGAATTTTTTTGTTTGTTTGACCAGCTGTTTTCCAGGGATTTATATGCCAAGAAAGTTGAACGAAGGAGCTACTTGAAAAGGTTGTTGGCTTTGCCTTGAATTGACTTCCAGTGATCTATTTCACAGTCTCTTATCTTTGGCAGGCTTTGGTGTTAAGATGTTGAGTACTGCCAACATGAAAAGCAGTCAGTACATTGCCATACATAGCAAACAGATCCGTGGACTGGCTTTCAGCAGTCGGCGCAAAGGTCTCCTGCTCTCCGCTTCCCTAGACAACACTATTAAACTGACCAGGTGAGTGCTTCAGGGAGGACGGTGGGGCCTGGGCTGTTTAGTGTTGAACAGCATGGAGATTAGTATCTGTGTTTAAATGGCCTTAGCTTGCATTTTTTGACCTAAGAGATTGTCTTCTGAGATCCAGATTCATTGAATTTAAAATGTATTGCTTTTCAAAATAGATACAACATCATAAATGGTATGTGTATTGTCCTGTCTGTTTAAAATTATATATGTTACAAAATGCATCTTAAGCCACGCAGAGGAGAGAAACACCCTAGAGATAGTCGAATGACAATACGGAAGGAGCCTTGGTACCTAGCACCATGGGGTTACCGTACCAGCTTGGGACTGCTTATTCCTGGTCTGTTACCAGGATCATTCTGCCTAACAGAAATGCTCATCAGGAACTCACTCTCCTGGGTCATGACTTCTCTCATCAGTAACCTTCAGTTACTACATTTTCTCTTTCATGTGCTCTGTGACGCTCTGAACCAGATCTGAATCTACTTATTGCCTTCATCTTTTAGAAGGTAGTTTTGATCAGATGTCTGATAGTTGGCTTCCTCTTCTGCAGTTAAATCTGAGGAACATCATGATAGCACTATCAGACCTGAGAAGCCTTTTGACTTTTCAAGAATGCTTCAGCTTAATTTGCTCCAAAACTTCATGAAGCATTTGTTTTATATGTATATATATGTTAGGATTTTTTTCTCTAGTAGTGTTAAACAGGTGAAAAGGCTACCTCTGGGTGGTCAGATTATTAGTTGTTATTTTTCTCACAGGTATATTCTAATTTTTCAGCATTGAATATTGATTACCTGTATAATAGATAATTATGGAGAATAGAGTTAGAGTAGGGAATGTACTGTTTAAGTATCTCTTTAATCTTTGATTTCATTATATTTCAAGAGGAAAACCTATAATACCCCAGAATAAATATTTTGGAATTAAAGGGGGTTATCTGGGCAGTCCCTAGAAGAAATTGGAAATCCCAAATAGTTTGGGTGTCGAGATGTGTTCTTAAAAGATTATCATTTCAATGATCATCTTTACATCTTTGTTTTATATTTGATTTCCTGAACGCATGGTTGTAAAACTCTTGTGTCTCCACAGCCTGGAGACAAATACAGTGGTCCAGACTTACAATGCTGGACGTCCTGTCTGGAGCTGTTGCTGGTGTCTTGATGAAACTAATTACATCTATGCTGGACTGGTCAATGGGTCAATTCTGGTGTATGACCTTCGAAACACGAGCCATCATCTCCAGGAGTTAGTACCCCAGAAAGCCAGGTGGGTAGCTACTCACTTTTCCCCTGTAGAGGCTTTCTCTTGCACCGTTGTATGAATCCTCTCTTTTGAGAGTGCTTCACAGTTGATCAGTTTCTCAGAGGGCAGTTCTGAGCCCAGTGAGGTGTTGTCACTTGGGAATCACTTAAGATCCTTAGAGTATGTGTTCGTGATATTTCTACATCGTAGAAAGCCCTGGTACCAAGTATAGCCAGGTTTATAGGGTCACTCATCCCATAGCGCGGCAAAATGAAGTCAGGTCCATGTTCAGAACCAAGGTCCAATGGATAGGAGCTATGTGACCTTGGCCACGGTTCTTGGCTTGTTACACAGACTTGCTTTAATAGCCACGTGTCTAACACATAGGAAGAGGTCAATAAAAGGTAGGCCTACAAAAAAAGGATTTAAAACTTCCCAAGTCCCTAGCTAAGCCAACTCAGTCTAAAGATACCATATTACTGTGATTTATCATTTATAACCATTTACAAAGTTGGGAGGTTTATAAAGTCAGCCCAGATTCTGAGGATGGGTGGTCACCAGCACCGCTGTGACTCTTCAGAATGAGTGGAGTACTTTTTGGGCATAATATTCCCTGAAGGCTTAAGGTTCTCAAAGGGAGCTGTGGAGGCGCATCTGGGTTGCTCACTCAGTTGGGTTTCCAACTTCAGCTCAGGTCATGATCTTATAGTCTGTGAGTTTGAGCCTGGCATCGGGCTCTGCTGACAGCTCAGAGCGTGGAGCCTCCTTCAGATTCTGTGTCTCCTTCTCTCTCTGGCCCTCCCCCACTCATTCTCTGTCTCTCTCTGTCTCTCAAAAATCAATAAATGTTAATAAAAATTTTTAAAAAGGAGAACTGGAGTCTGACCTAGGCCAAAATGAGAAGTATCTTAAATGAGAACTTCCATTTCCAATTTGAATATATATTAAAAAGGGAGCATAAGCATCTAAACATAAAGATATCACAGTAGTAATAATTGCTTGAGAAAATCTAGGCTCAGCACTTTGAAGTCTTTTCATTTGCATGGGGTTAGAATCATGCTTCAGTTATGTGGTCTGTGGGCCTGAAGATGACTGGTGTAAACTTCTAGAAGTGTAAACTTCTAGAATGGATGCGTAGTAACTGCCATTGATTGTAGAGGGATCCACTCAAGAATAGGTAATAAAATAGAGCAGATAGCAAGGAAAGAATAGTTGTCTGCAGTGTTCATTTCTGATGTACTTTGCTTCATTGTGACATGACAGGGCAATGAAAGAAGGCAGGCACAGGGACCACTTCGGCAACTTCAGCAGAAACAAGTCTTGTGTCTTGTTTTATGTCAGGAACATATCTACAGGCTGATACTTCTGAGAGAATTCTTGGCATACAGTCCTGGTCATATGCTTGCAGAAAGAGATTTAGAACATTTCTAAAGAAACCATCTTGTTTCTGAATTAGAATGTAGTTTGTTCAGGGGCGCCTGGCTGGCTCAGTCGGAAGAGCATGTGACTCTTGATATCAGGGTCATGAGTTCGAGCTCCACATTGGGTGTAGAGATTACTTACATAAGTCTAAAAGTTTTTGCTTCAGACTATATTTTAATTGAAGGATCTGTCAACTGCACCTTGGAAACCTTATTAGATGTATAAGCTACATTTCCTTTCTGACTTTTCCTTATGTGTACGTCTAACCCCATTTCTAGAAGCTTCACACTAGTCAATCTTCCTTGTAATTGTGATCTTGTTGTATTAAATTTCCTAGTCCTTTTTTCTAAATTAAAAAAAATTTTTTTTAATGTTTGTTTATTTTTGAGAGAGAGAGAGAGAGAGAGAGACAGAAGAGATAAATTACAAGTGGGAGAGGGGCAGAGAGGGAGGGAGACACAGGATCTGAAGGAGCTGTCACCACAGAGCCCATTGCAGGGCTCACTCTCAGGAACCACAAGATCATGACCTGAGCCGAAGTTAGATGCTTAACCGACTGAGCCACCCAGGTGCCCCCCTAGTCATTTTTTTAAAAAACTGTTCTTAGAACGTACGAAATGTCCTCTGAAATCGGATGCAAAAGATTATACGTGTACTCTTCTAAAGTTTCTGCAGAGTAGGTTGGTAGATTTTACCAAATGTCAAAGGATAGAGACCCACAGAAGTTGTTTATTAAAAAAAATTTTTTTTTTGAATGTTTACTTTTAAGAGATAGAGACAGAGCACGAGTGGGGGAGGGACAGAGAGTGAGGGGAATCCAAACCAGGCTCCAGGCTCTGAGCTGTCAGCAGCACAGAACCTGATGTGGGGCTCAAAGTCACAAACTGAGACCATGACCTAAACCAAAGTCAGATGCTTGACGGACTAAGCCACCCAGACTCCCCCGGTCTTTAACGGTAAAGGTCAGAATGCGCTTGAGGGCTCCTACTAGTGGGGTCTGGAGTAGTACAAGTATTGGAATGTGAGACATGGTTTCCTTCCTTTCCCTTCAGATGCCCACTGGTATCCCTGTCATACATACCCAGAGCTGCCTCAGCTGCATTTCCTTACGGTGGCGTGTTGGCTGGAACCTTGGAGCACGCTTCCTTCTGGGAGCTAAAAATGGGCTTTTCCCATTGGCCTCATGTGCTGCCCATGGAGCCAGGGGGTTGCGTAGACTTTCAGACGGAGAGCAGCACCCGACACTGTCTTGTGACCTACAGGCCTGGTGAGTGCTGGGACGCCCTGGGTCTGGGAGCAGCTCTGTTCACGAAAGGTGAGGAGAGCTTGCCCTGCCCTGACGCTGGAGGGCCCCTTGCTGGCTAACAGCTCTAGCTACTACATTGAAGATAGGGGCTCCACATTCCCCCATCAGTCCCACCTCTGCCCCTCACTTATGTGAACCAGCACAAATTCTGCCAGGTGCGCCCCGGAGTGAGTTAGCCCCTTTAGGAGCCCCTGTGATTTAAAACAGTAATAGAATAAAGAGGCCTGCTCCGGAGGCCAGTGCGTCCCCCTCATCGTGGTTTCGTGTCATCTGCCTGCCCTTAAGAAAGATAAAAACCCAGGCAGGGGCAGGGCAGGATAAAGTGATTTTACTAAAAAGGATAGCTTACACCGAGAATTGTTTCCTTCATTGGCAAAATCTATTGTAGGTAACTTGCTTTATCCTAGCCTGGGGTTTGGAATTTCATCTGTGCTGTATTATTTTGCTCTTGTTACTATGTTGCTTTGTAGCTATTCTTGATGATCTATAAATGGTGGCTCTTGCACTCCAGTAGTTTGTAAGCATCTGAGATTCACGTTCTTCATTAATTTCTTTGAATCATTCCCATGGAGCAACACTGATTCTCTGTCCTGTAGATAAGAATCACAACACTTTACGAAGTGTGCTGATGGAGATGTCCTACACACTGGACGGTGCTGGAGAACCGGTCTGTTCCTGTCATCCTGTGCAAACATTCCTTGGGGGACCCACGTGCAAACTACTGACCAAAAGTGCCATTTTCCAAAACCCAGAGAGTGATGGCAGCATCCTAGTGTGTGCTGGGGATGAAGCATCAAATTCTGCCCTGGTGAGCCATTTATTTTCTTCTACGGGAGTATATAGAGCAAAAAGCCAAATTCTCCTTAATTGCACACACCTGTGTATGTGCCTATGCATGGTTGCTTATTTTTACACAAGGCACACTGGGCATGCCACTCTATAACTTGCTCTTTTCCTATTTAGCTTCCTAGCTTAGATATCTTCCATTTCAGTACCTAGATTTGCCCCTTTCTTTTTTTTTTTTTTATGTGAGCTGTAGTGTCCCATGGGCCATCTTGTGAATATTTTTTAAAAAATAAGGAACTACTGAAACCCTTATAAAATAATTGATTCAGGCACCAATTTCGTCAGTTCAGGATAAAAGCAAAAGATGAATGATTGATGGGGGTGGTAGAGTGGAGGGGTCAGTCTTTCACAACCTGAATAGGTTGATCAATCTTAATATCACTATAAGTGGGTTAACAAAAATGATTTGCCTCTTTAAAAAAATGTATTTATTTTGAGAGAGCACGTGTGTGTGTGTGAGCAGGGCAGGGGCAGAGAGAGGGAGTGAGAGAGGATCCCAAGCAGGTTCCGTATTGTCAGCAAGGAACCTAATATGGGGCTCAGACTCAAAAATTACAAGATCAGGACCTGAGCCAAAATCAAGAATCAGATGCTTAACCGAGTGAGCCACCCATCTGCCCTAGTTTGCCTCTTGATAGAAGACAATATGAAGTACATAGTGCCTTCTATGAGATGCCCTTGGACCTAAATCTAATCAAGCTTTGGAGCATTGCCAAACAATACAGTTGCGCTAGCCACATGCACTCTTGAAATCTGATTAGTGTGAATGAAGACCTTAATTTTTAAATTTTTATTTAATTTTAATTTTAATAGCTTTATGTGGCTAGTGGCCACCATATTGGATAACATCACTATAGAGTAAGGGTAAAATGATATGAAGTCCGTAAAGAAAACAATAGAATCAGTGAAGCAGATGTGGTGAAAGCTTAATAATTTGTTGTACTACTATACTTTTTATTAAAGATTTTTTTTTCAAAACAGGCATACTTGGGTAGCTCAGTTGATTGGTCATCCAACTCTAGCTCAGGTCATGATCTCACAGCTCATGTGTTCGAGCCCCGCATCAGGCTCTGTGCTGACATCTTAGAGCCTGGAGGCCGCTACAGATTCTCTCTCCCTCTCTCTCCACCCTTCCCCCCACTTTGCTCTGTCTCTCTCTCTGTTTCTCAAAAATAAATGTTTAAAACGTTACTAAAGGAGTGCCTGCATGGCTCAGTTAGTTAAGCATCCAACTTTGGCTCAGGTCATGATCCCACAGTTGGTGGGTTCAAGCCCCACATCGAGCTCTGCTGACAGCTCAGAGCGTGGAGCCTGCTTCAGATTCTGTGTCTCCTTCTCTCTCTCTGCCCCTCCCCCACTCATGCTGTTTCTCTCTGTCTCAAAAATAAATAAACATTAAAATTTTTTTAAATATATAAATAATTTTTAAAAACTTATTAAAAAATAATTACTCATAACAAAACATTTTGAAAAGGAAAAGAAAGCACTAGTTAGAAGATAGATTTCATGAGGGCAGACAGAGAAAGGGACTTTCTGTCTTGCTGACTCTTCTGTCCTCAGAAGAGTTGCTGGCACCTTGATGGAAGGGCTGAATGCTAGGCTTGCTTTTCAGAGGTAGACTCGTTGCTGATTAGAGTGGCAGAGCCCACACCCGAACGATGTTTTGTATCCTGGCTTTGCGAAGGTCAGGAACGATCTCTTGTGCTCCCCAGGCAGTGCTCTTGCTGCAGCCCTTTCAAAGTTGTCTGCTGACATTAAGGAGTACACTTGTGATGAGCATCGGGTGTTGTATGCAACTGTGGACTTGCTATATTGTACACCTAAAACTAAAAAACTGTATGTTAACTAACTGGAATTTAAATAAAAATTTTTTTAAAACCCACAAAGTTGTCTGATGATAAAGCAAGCAAGTCCCCCAGCTGAATTGAATGACTCCTGACCCTGAACTCTGTCTGTCTTCTCTAGCTGTGGGATGCTGGCAGTGGCTCGTTGCTGCAGGAACTGCAGGTGGATCAGCCCGTCTTGGACATCTGCCCATTTGAGGTGAACCACAGCAGCTACCTGGCTACCTTAACAGAGAAGACGGTCCACTTATATAGGTGGGAGTGACTGTGTCTGGGACTTGTCAGGCATGCTGCTGGTGAATGGTGAATGTCGTTTGCTGGCTCCTGACAGCCCTGAGCAAGATCTCTGCTTATTGCCTGTGGCCTAGAACTTCTGGGATCACGGTTGCTTTGGATTAATGTGATTCTAAGACTCCAGGTCACTGAAACACTACAGACTGTGTATTTGTGGTGTCCATCCAAAGAATAAGTGATTGGTACTCCATCTACATTATCATTATCTTGGGCTCAGAGCCTTCACAAATCTGTTGAGAATCTGTGTTTTTAATCAGACATTCTACGGGACACCCTCCCAGCAGTCATTTAGAATGAGTGTGCACCAAGCATTTTCTGGAGGATGTGACACCCACCCAAGTGGTCTTGTCACTTGAACTTTATGACTCAGGAACGAATGCTTATGTCCCAGAAGAGATTGACCATCTCTGTGTTGCATGGATGCAGAAGAGTCTTCAGTTGAACACAAGAGGGCACTGTGGATGAAGAATTCGATCCATTTCTGACCTTGTTTGTTGACAGCCTTTCAGTTCCTTGGCCTCATCCCCGCAGAAGTGTGCGGTAGAGCACATCTGGTCTACCTTGTGGCAGCAACAGATCTATCCAGGTGTGCAGTGCTGGGCTGTTGTCAGGCCCAGTGATGGAGGCAGCTGGTGAGCGGTAGACCCTTTGGGACGCTGAGTGCAGTAGGTTCATCACATCGTGGGAGCCAAGGGAAAAGACCAACTGTTGGAGCAGTGGGGAAGCCTCACTTTTTCTTGCTATCCGAGGATCTCGGGATTGATTTTATATAAGCCGGTGCTCTGAAGACCCCCCGTTTTCCCTCTTACTAGGAAAAGATGAGTGACATGTCACAGCTCTTGTTTGGTTCTCTCCTAGTAAAAGGGTTCAAGGGCGAAGAGCTAAGCAAGAGAGGCTTACAAAAGAGAAGCTGCTGAAAACAAGGTAAAGCCTTCCTCGTGTGAGCCTGGTGTTTGACTTCAGCTTCCTCTGATACGCCTCCCTTCCTAGCCTTTTTAAAGAGTCTTGTGAGTGAAGTAGTTATTCTCAGGAAGATAAGAGTGGTCGGAGACCTGTGTGGATTGCAGGGAGAAGCCCATCAGCTTTTGTTTCAACCGCAGATTGTCCAGCGTTGCGAACTTCACTTTTCTCCCATAGAGGGAAAGTTTCGGTTTTTATGTGTTTGCTTTGCCTGCGGCTGCTCTGCTAAACCGCAGTCTGCAGTAGAACACGCCTCAAGGTGTGGGCGGTCAGTGCCTCGTTCTTGGAAGCAGGATGGCCAACAGTGTGACTTTTTAAAATAATTGTTCCAGAAGTGTTATTATTTTTATTTTAAAACTGTTCTGGCCGACAACTCCTGAGCTGTTTCCAGCATTTCTCACCAGCAAAGGGTAATTGTAATAGATTTCCCCAGAGTTCCAAGTTCTAGTTGTGCCTTCTAAAGAGTGGCCTCCTTCTATTTTAGGACATCTTCCAAAATGCCAGTTTCCAGATGCTGGGAAAGAGCCTGTTTTTCTCAGAGGAGCTACTCCTTTCAGTATGTTGATGATTGAGAATGACAGCCCAGGCCCAGAGCATCAGTGGCAGAAAGGGATTTGAACTCCTCTGGTTTCCACACATCGTCAGAGGATGCAGTCGGCAGGCCCTGGCTGGCTTTGTCTTTGGCCAGGACAAAACCCACGGTAGGGTTAGGATTTGACCACGGCTGATGCTCATTGATTTCCCCCAAGCACAGGAACCAAGGGACTTACTGCCAGGGAAGTTGGGTGAATCTCATATCTTGCCAATTCTTGCATTTCTCCAGTAAATTTGGATGTTTTAGAGATAAATATATATGATTTCTCCCAAGGAAAAGACCTTGCCCTCAGCCATCCTACCCCTGCACCCCTCAGCCTGCAGGAGATTACCTCTGTAGTCCCAGGCTCAGGGGTCCTGTGCTGCAGCAGCTCTGCCCCAACAAGTTCGTCACCTGTGTCTCTGAGTTAGTTTTCCCATATGAGGGTTTGGAGTTAAGCAGACTCAAAGTATCTTATTGGTGTGTATATCCTTGTACCTGCTTTGACAGACCGGGCAGTGGGATCTCTCTTCATGTCCTGTGTTTATGTTTTAATTAAAAAATAAAGCATTTGTTATGTGTACCAACTCCTGGTGTCTTTTGCCTCTTTGACTGCCCGAGCCACGAACGTGTCTGCCTCTTGGGAAAGGGGTCCAGTCTCAGCCTGGTAGATGTCTTCTTTTCATCTAGTAGTAGGTCTGAATTACATGGGATCGTCCCTGGATCTGAAGTAAACGTCTTATTTAAATTGATGAGGTGGTTGAGGTGGCTTAACTGGCAATTCTGTTCTGCTGTTGCTAGTGGGAAGCTGTGTGTTTGCTTCCTAAGAACTTACCCACACTGGTTATTTGTCTGTTTGCTCTGAGATCCAAAGGGCTTAATCTTGGAAACTACACTTCACAGACGCCTTTTGCCTGTGGGCTTCCTTGTTACTTTCTTTGAATCTGGAAAACTGTAGTATGGGGGAGCAGGGAGTGCCAGAGAGGATTTACCTGTTTCTTTCTTTCAGTCTTTGGCAGCACCAGGTCAGCGGCGGCGGCCCTGGGCAAGCGTGGACTCTGGGCCTCTGCTCAGCACCGTTCTGGTCTCTTGCCACAGTGTCTCTATTGTATTTAGTTCAGGTATTTCTGTTGCCATAAATCATGGTTCTGGGATTAGATCGGAAAGGCTGAAAATGGTTTCCAGCTGAACAGCAAACAGAGTACGCTAGATTCCAGGAGGACCAGGTCCATAGGTATAGGCTTGCTGCTGTCACGGAGCTGGTGCTCCAACACCAAATGACAGAGGTCCTGGAAGGAACCCCCGCATTCCTAAGAAACCCACCACCATTATTTTCTCTTCCACGGTACTCTTGTTTCCCATCTCGGTGACTGGTTGTCAGATGAAATTCTGGAAACAGACATTTGTATGTCCTTGTCTTTTAATGAGTCAACTTCTGGGTGTTGGTAATAATTGCTTCTGGTTTATTTATCCCTTTATAGTTTACAAAGTCCCTTCCTAATCTATTGATTAATTTTTAAGCAATGTTGTAGAATAAGTATTGTTCTTCCAATTAACAGGGGAAGAAACAATTAAAAATCTTATTAAAGGAAAATGATGGTGGCCCTTAATTAAATTTTACATATCCTCATGTTTACATCCTGTACCTGACATTACTGACAGCTACCCAGGATCTGGGAAACCTGGGTGGAAGTTCACTTTCACTCTTGACAGCTCCGTCTCCAACACAGCTGAGGCTGGCTGATTCCCTACAAATTGTTCCTCCTGCATTTAAAATGAAAATAAAGCAGACAGTCATAAATTTTATTGTGACACTTTACACTCTCTGGGTGCCGAGGCTGGGAACACCACCACCTGGTGGAAGAGGCTAGACACATGGCTAGAACCACCCAGGGCAGGGCTCATCACAGAGGTCAGCTGAAGAGGAGGAAAAAACAAAACAAAACAGTGGAGCCGTGTGTTTGCTCTAGAAAGCAGGGTGCAGGGCGGGCTAAATAAGGAGCCTGCTGTGGAGATGGGATGTGAGGAGGGCTGCCATGGCCATGAACCCTTGCTAGCCCCTAAAAGTAACAACAGCTTTATCCATATATGGCTACAGCCAGCAGAAGGGTTCACCTAGAGGCTGGACATGGGCCGAAGCTAACAATATCTGGATTTGGTTAAAAGGAAATGTTATCCACTGCGAGGAAAACAAAGGAAATTCAGAACTTAGCAGATGATTGGCTCAGCAGACCTGGTGATTCTGCTCTGGAAGCTGAGCTCTGTGTGAGCTGCCAACAGTTGGATGGACTGTGAGTTAATGAAAGTGGGGGGCTTGGCAGACCACTTGTTCTTGAAATAAAGGAGGGAATATCTGCCCCTAGATAAAGACCCTGCCATCTGATTAAAATGTCACTGCTAGGTTAAAGCAGTGTTTCCAGAAGGGTCCTGGCAGATTCCTAGGCTGGAGCCATGGTGGAGTTGTTGGATGTTGGTGTGGCTCAATTGTTTCTTTAAACATAGTGTAGAAAATTGATTGTTAATCAAAAGAACCGGGGATCTTTTGAAAAAGACGATTGTCAAATTAGTCAGGGACAAAGAAGAAGGAATGAGGGCCTAACTTAAGAAAGGGTGTTGAGGACAGGAGAGGAGAATTGCTGTGCAACTGTGAGCCCTGTGAAGTGCTGACACCTGACTTGTACCCCTGTGGAAGCTCTAGAATTGACCATGACCCCGGTTTGCCTCATGAAGATGGTATCCTGACTGTCAAGAGTGACACTGCTTCACTAGGTAAATGTGTTCCTTCCCTCAGCTCACGTGAGTCACTTGCTACCTGTGTCAAGGAAAGGAAACCTACATTATTAGATGGTAACATTTATGTCTCTGATGAAGACCCTCCCTCTCCCCAAAAAAGGCACGAAATTCTTGTAGAGTAAGGACCACAGTTTGTGCAACTTGGCAAATTGTTGTAAGGGAGGTAAAGACATCCAAACTCTCAAAAGCTGGGTTCCTCTCTGGGTCTTAGATTCTCAGCCTAGATAATCACTGACATGTCTGTGACAGACAGAGTTAGGTCCCTTAGCTGCATAATTTGGGGGTGCCTGGAAGCATGTTGTTACATTTTTCTTTTTTTTTATTTTGAGAGAGACAGACAGTGTAAATAAGGGAAGGGCAGAGAGAGAAGGAGAGAAAAGAATCCCAAGCAGGCTCCACACTGTGAGCACAGATCCAGAGGTGGGGCTCAAACTCATGAAAACATGAGATCATGTCCTGAGCTGAAACCAAGAGTAGCACGCTTAACCGACTGAGCCACCCAAGGGACCCTGTTATTACATGTTTCATCCCTAAAGTCCCAATGTTATGGTACACCTTTTACAGAGTTTGCCCAGGTATGGTGGCCATGAAAATGAGCCACTCAGAACTCCAACGATGGGGAGCATAATTGACTGCTCTTCCAACTTGATAAACTCTGAAGATCCATAACTGCATCCACAGCAGGGCCACACTTCCCAAGGGTTGCTCCAGCCACTGACTGACGATGGCAGGGATACCGAGAGGCCCACTTCTAGGATAGGCTAAACTCCTGACAGGCAGCTTTAGCACGTGGAGTCTCCCATGACCTTCGCCAAACTTTCCTAGAGTTGAAGTTCGTCTAAATTCAGTCTAAGTTGTTGCCACCCATCCATCCTTCCATCCCTCTCCGTTTCGCACAGGGTCAGACCTGCATCATGTTTAATGCCTCTTTCACTCACCAATTTTTCCTAGAGATGTTATCTATGATAAATTTTTTCATGGTTGGATCCCCCTCTTTATTTTTTAATGTTTATTTTTTAGAGACAGAGTGCGAGCACGGGAAGGGCAGAGAGAGGAAGACACAGAATCCGAAGCAGGCTCCAGGCTCTGAGCTGTCAGCACAGAACTGGATGCAAGCCAGAAGTCACGATCCATGAGATCATGACCTGAGCCGAAGTCAGATGTTCAACTGACTGAGCCACCCAGGCGCCGCCCCCCTCCTGTTTTTGCTATTTTTTGTATTATGGTAAAATGCACGGGGACGCCTGGGTGGTTCAGTCAGTTAAGCGTCCGACTTCAGCTCAGGTGATCTCCTGGCTCATGAGTGCCGACAGCTCAGAGCCTGGAACCTGCTTTGCATTCTGTGTCTCCCTCTCTCTCTGCCTGTCCCCTGCTGGTACTCTGTCACTCTCTCAAAAGTAAATAAACATTAATTTTTTTTAATTTGAAAAAATTTTTTTATCTTTATTTTTGATAAAGAGAGAGACAGTGCAAGTAGGGGAAGAACAGAGAGAGGGAGACAAAGAATCCAAAGCAGGATCCAGGCTCTGAGCTGTCAGCACAGAGCCCATTGCGGAGCTCGAACCCACTAACCATGAGTTCATGACCTGAGCTGAAGTCAGACGCTTAACCAATGGAGCCACCCAGGCGCCCCCCAAAACTTTCTTTTTTAAATGGACATAACAAAATATACCATCTTACACATGTTTTTCTTTATTATTTTTTTTTTAATTTTTTAATGTTTTATTTATTTCTAGGAGAGAGAGAGAGAGACAGCGTGAGCAGGGGAGGGTCAGAGAGAGAGGGAGTCACAGACTGAAACAGGCTCCAGGCTCTGAGCTGGCAGTCAGCACAGAGCCCGACGCGGGGCTCGAACCCACGAACCGCGAGATCATGACCTAAGCGAAAGTCGGACGCTCAACCGACTAAGCCACCCAGGCGCCCCTTCTTTATTATTTTTTAAAAGTAAGCTCTGGGGGTGCCTGGGTGGCTTAGTCGGTTGAGCGTCCGACTTTCGCTTAGGTCATGATCTCGCGGTTCGTGGGTTCGAGCCCCGCGTCGGGCTCTGTGCTGACTGCCAGCTCAGAGCCTGGAGCCTGTTTCAGTCTGTGACTCCCTCTCTCTCTGACCCTCCCCTGCTCACGCTGTCTCTCTCTCTCTCTCCTAGAAATAAAAAATAATAATAAAATAAAAAAAAATAAACATTAAAAAAAAATAAAAGTAAGCTCTGAAAAAATAAATAAAAGCTCTGTACCCAATATGGAGCTTGAACTCACAACCCTGAGATCAAGAGTTGCATGCTCTACCCACTGAGCCAGTACAGTTTAGTGTATTAAGTTCATAGTGTTGTGTATCTATGTCCATAATTTCCCAGCTTGTAAAACTGAAACTCTATACCCATTAAATAATAACACCCCATTCTTCCCTCCTCCCAGCCCCTGGCACCCACCATTCTACTTTCTGTATCTATTTTACTGCTCTAATTATCTCATATAAATGGAATCATACAGTATTTGTTTGTGACTGGCTTATTTCACTTAGCATAACGTCCTCAAGGTTCACCCATGTGGTAGGATATGTTAAAAATTTCCTTTTTAGTGGCACCTGGATGGCTCAGTTGGTTAAGCATCTGACTTTAATTTCAGCTGAGGTCGTGATCATGAATTTGAGTCCTATGTCTGGCTCTGTACTGACAGTGTGGAGCCTGCTTGGGATCTTCTAAACATTAAAAGAAGGTGAAGGAGAAGAAAAGAAGGGAAAAGAATATCCTTTCTAAGATGGAATGATATTCTATTGTATAAAATACCACATTTTGC